AACAATAGGACAAACACAAATAACCAACCATACCAAGGTGGGACCCGAACCCACGACCTCCCAGCTTGTAGTCAGCAAAAATAACAACCAGTCCATGGTCGGCGGTGTTTGTTTTTAATGCTATTATATGTTATTATTTTGTCTATCATTTAAAATAATCTTTTACTTCACATTTCCCATAAAAGAGTCACGGAGTCGATGGGGTGGCAAATTTACTCATTGCCCGGGGCGGCAAAATACCTAAAGCCGGCCTTGGGTATCTAATAAACAAAACTTTAAAATTTATTTATAAAATTTTGTTTGTGAAATGGTTTAATTTTCAATTGACCGATCCATTATTAGGAGGCAATAAGCAAATCCCCAAATATTCAGCTAGTTCCTTAATAAATTGCTAAAAAAAACCTTGACCAACAAGAATTTAGCAACAAAATATAATTTATGCGATTATAAATATATTATTTTTTAGATATAAAAATCTTAAGACCCAATAATTAGTGTTGTCACTGAAAAAAAACAGTCTTGTTTTTTTTCAAAAAAAAATGTTTTTTTTAGAAAAAAAACAGAGGTCCTTGTTTTTTTTCAAAAAAAATGTTTTTTTTCAAAAAAATGGTCAAAAATACTCAAATTATATTAAGTGACAGGATTTTCGAAATGTCACTGCTGAGGAAAGAATTTTTGGCACATTCTGTCACTAGAAGATTATTAAATACTAATTATAGTTTCTTACTTACCATTAGTAATATTCTTAAACAAATTGTTTAACGTTGTTGGCTTTCGCCCTGAGCCTTTTCTTTTCGGCATTTCTACCAACTATGCACCAACCTATAAAGCCGAAGGTCTTAACTCTTCTATTATAATACCGTATAGACTATACGATATGCTTAGTCAGCATTGCCGACAGCGAGGTGCCCTTTTACCATACGTGGGTGAGGATGAAAAAAAACAACTTTTGTTTTTTTTCAGTGAAAAAAAACATGTTTTTTTTCACGTGTTTTTTTTCAACTGAAAAAAAACGTTTTTTTTTACAACACTACCAATAATACATACAATTTTAAATTTTAGATACTTGCTATTGGATATGGTTGTCTCGCTTACATTATATCGCATGATATACAAACCCACTTTGGCCAAAGATATTGGTAGTGGGTAGACCTTTACAAAGATTCGGAACCATATTGCAAATTATTGTGTTATGCTGTTTGCTTGAAAGCATTTCTCGGGTGTGATGCCATCTAATATTAACTTGAACGCTGCTGAGCGCTGCTCTAATCATCTGAAAGCTAATGATTTACTTTACAACAAAATGTACAAGTTCAAATTAAATAAAATTTTGCCCAACTTGGAACGTACCTATTTAATATTAATCCTAATTTAGATGTTGTATGTATAGTTGTGGAAAAAAGATAAGCAGTATTTATAATAATAGTTAATACACATTTACTATTTTTATTTCCATTACAATTTTAGTTTTAGACCAGATTTTTTCGTTTATGTCAATAACAATACAAATTTGTCTTTATTAATTAAGTATTAATCCACTACAAAGAAAAAATTATTAAATTAGGTATGGGAACCAAAAATAAAGCAACAAAAAACATGCAGTTTGTTAATCGCAGCGAAAGTCTCGAGAAGAGCAGAAAACAAAGATAAGAAAACCATAAAGGTAAAAGGATTGTCTAATTATTTAAAAAAATAACATGATAAATAACAATACAATTACGTTTTTTTTAATAATTTATTTTAAAAACAAAATTATGGTAGTAACCAAATAAATCAAACCAAATATCCCTAGATAATCACGTGTTCGTAATCCAGTGTTGCCGGATCTTCTGAACGAAAATGACAGATTGATAAATTTGGTTGGACACAGTCAACATTATCGTTAATTATTGCAAAAGTATGTAGTAAAAGTTAACAAAAATTATTATATGCCACTTCTAGAGGCATAAGTGTATACGAGAAATAAAATTCATTAATCACGTCAGAAGATATGCATTAATTAAAGGCATGGGCCCTATAGGAGATGTGTTTAATTAACGCATATCTTATAACAAAAAAAACAAAATTAAACTGACCAATTTTTGTTTCTACTTTATTTATATTTTCGGGCTTTTTTGTCGAATACAATTAATTGGAGTGCCGCGGCGCGCCAAAAAATAAATAAAGTAAATAAGTAAATAAGTAAATAAGTAAATAAGTAAGTAAATAAGTAAATAAGTAAATAAGTAAATAAGTAAATAAGTAAATAAGTAAATAAGTAAATAAGTAAATAAGTAAATAAGTAAATAAGTAAATAAGTAAATAAGTAAATAAGTAAATAAGTAAATAAGTAAATAAGTAAATAAGTAAATAAGTAAATAAGTAAATAAGTAAATAAGTAAATAATTAAATAAGTAAATAAGTAAATAAGTAAATAAGTAAATAAGTAAATAAGTAAATAAGTAAATAAGTAAATAAGTAAATAAGTAAATAAGTAAATAAGTAAATAAGTAAATAGGTAAATAAGTAAATAAGTAAATAGGTAAATAAGTAAATAAGTAAATAGGTAAATAAGTAAATAAGTAAATAAGTAAATAAGTAAACAAGTAAACAAAAAAATAATAAAATAACTATATATAAATAATAAAAGTTACTTTATAAATAAATAAATAAAAAAATATATTTATTAACGGAATCCCATTAAATCAAACCTGTGAAAAGGGAACCTTTAAGCTATTATTAAATAAAAGGGATATATAATTATACTCAAATAATATAAAGTAAAATAGTAAATTTAACGTTTTAAGATATATCAAGAGATCCCATCACTGGAAGCATTAGCAAAGTAAAGAGCGCCAGAAGCTTTTAACATTTAACCGCTGCCGAAGCGTATAAACGTAACAGGAACATTGCTCTAAATCTATTTTGCCCCAAAAACCTTTTTTACCAACTGCTAAATAACAAAAAGGTAAAAACGTTAAATCTTTTTCCTTCGGTTAACGAAAAGGTGTTTTGTTTCATCTTAAACCAAATAAAACTAGTCCTGTACTTTTTTATTAATTTTATTATTAAATACTTTTCTATAAATTTTTAATATAAATTTTATGAACGAGGTTTTACTTTATCGTTGCATACAAATTACAAAATATTCGTAATTTTAATATATTATTTATACTTCCTTTAGCATTTTAAGGTACGTTTTGTGTTAAAGTTAAACTCTTAAAATGTACGAGATATAAGGGCGTAGCCACATGAGAGCAGGGGGCAGCTTTCCCTGGAGTTTGTGTTTAATAAAATAAATAATAATAAAGCATGCATAAAGGATCTTTGCAAAAGTTCCGATTATTGGGGATAATTTTTATTAAAATGACGACTTTTTCAAAGATTTTGAAAAATTTACTTTAGTAGTATAAAAATATTTTGTGTTTGTGAAAAACCGGTTTCTAAAAAATGAAGTAATTTTTTAGAAACCGGTTTTTCACAAACACAAAATATTTTGTCTATTTATCCATCAAAAAGGCCACGAATTTGACAAATCATCCTTATAAGCCTTTAAGACGGAGACTTAGTCTTTCCCTGCATGAGCTGCATTAGTCAAAAGCTAATAAGAATTTTGAAAAGGCTGACTAGTGAATTCATCGAAAAATAGGTATCTGAATCTTTAACAATTTTTACTAAAGGGACCACTAAAATTCGTTTTTTTTAATATCTCTGGGACCTTCTTACCTACTTAATTAGAATTTGCTTGTCAGCGTATTTTGGCCCCAAACTTTTTTTTTGTTTAAATGTTTTGTACAATTTGGTTAAAAATATAATTTTTTAATTAATTTTCCGCAAAAAAGGACATTGTCAACAGTTTCGAAAAAAATGCATTTAAAGATGCCCAAATAGCCATTTTAAAACTTTTTAATTCTTTTTTTTTATAATGTTACTTTAATAATTAAATAATACAAACTTGAAATAACTTGTTAAAAATGTTCACCTAATGCATGCTTCATTTTTTTTGTTACATCGAACTGCGTACGCGTTTAAAAATTCCTTGACCATAAAACAGGATACATTAAAAGTAACCCATCGACGACCAATTAGAAGGCTGCAGCGATGCAGTGTTGCCGTAGTGCAGTGCTGGGCCGCGGGTAATTTAAATTTCCCGAAATGGATGATGTAAAAATAGTTATTTAGGTCTTAAAATAATCGCGAATGGTTTTCAAACATAAATTTTATAATTTGTGCATAAATTGGCCATCAGTCTTCATTGGCGCTAGTGTAATTTCGCAAAAGCTCGTCTAATATAACGGTTTCCAAACATAACCTCAATATCTTGGCAGCAATATCTTCACATTTGTTTTGTCGCGTCGTTTGCTTGCTTCAAGTGTGGCTTTTCTGTGTTTTTCACTTTATAGTTGTGTTTTTAGTGTTAAGGTGTGACCTTTTTTGTGCATTTGTGTATAGTAAATTTGTGTTTATTCAATTGATATTAGAAACTATTGTTACTCTATTCGATTTTTGACTTTTTCTGTGCTTTATAGACTATAAACATTGAGTATGCTATAAATTGTGCATATTCAATATACCTATATTTATATTCTTTAAAATGGATTTAAATAAGTAAGTTTACACAAATAAGTTAAATTAAAAATTAAATGTTTACTTTGTAGGCAAACAAATGCCAAAATTTGTGAGCATTGTGAGATGGAGTTTTGCAGTGTCTCTTCCAAAAATGATCATCTAAAGCGAGTCCACAATAAGCCAGTGGAGAATAAAACAACGCCTCGAATTTTGTGCCCACTATGCTCTGAAGGCGAAACATTTTTAAGCCATAGGCTTGTAAAGCATTTAAAATATATTCACGACATTGTTGTTAAGGTTTCTACTTTGAACTTTATTAACATTAAAGAATTTGAAATCTGAAGAACACTAGAAAAAAGGGAAGTTGATTATGCTTGTCATAGGAAAATAAAAGGCCAAATGGAGAAGAACATTGGTATTACAAGTGCAATAGAAGTAACTGTGCAGGTTGTATGCTTTATTCGCAGTATTTAACATTACTTATTATCTCTTGTTTAGGATTTAGTAGTACTGCTACTCAACGTAGTTTAAAAGCCAAAGGAAGTATTAGGATTCATGGAATATGCCCCTCAAATATAACTGAAAAAATTTCTACCAGTGGTAAATATTTAAATCTATTTTAGCAATATGTAATAATTAGAAAATAAATTCATTTACATATGTTTCAAATCTATGTTTTTTTAGGATATGTTACAGTAACTTTTTTTGAGTCATATGTGGATGAGGTTGACCTAAGGACTAAACAACTGTCAAAAAGTGAACAAAATGTTATTGTGGAAAAATTAAATGCAGGAGTAACAAGCCAAAGAATAATCCAAAATGCTAGAATGGTTAGTAACCATAGTTTGGAAAGGATTAATGTAATTACAAGGGGTGATATTTAATCTGAAAATATAAAATTGATAAAAAAGGCATGCTGATGATATGATTGCTGTATCTTTGAAAGTTGAGGAATGGAATCAACAGGGAAGGAATGATGCATTTTTATTTAAACAAATAGGTAGGAAATTGGATTATTAAATACATTATGGGGTTTCTCACAAAAATATCATTTTTAGGAATTAATTTTCCAGGATTGTGGGATAATGAAAAAAAAACTAAGGGAATTTAAAAAAATTATTTGCATTGATGGGACACATGGCACTAATCGTAGAAATTGGGATTTAACCATTGTGCTAATTAAATATGAGAACAACATGGGTTTTCCTGTTGCATTTTTACTTTTTAACAGAATGGTTCAAAAAATACAGAAAGTATTTTTTAATGCACTCAAGGAAAAATTAGGAGGTCCTATTGAAGCACAATACATAATGAGTGATGATGATCCCAAATATTTAAATGCATGGACCCTGGTGATAAGCACAGAGGAAATACCCAATCCAAGAAGAATCAATAATCGATTAATCAAATAATCGATTATTTTATATAATCAATAATCGATTATGAATTTCCATAATCGCCCAGCCCTAGTAATAACATTATTTGGCTATGTATACTTATTATGTAAAAAATTAAAAACATCACAACATGTACTAAAATTATATTGTATGATTGATTATTTTATATTAAAAAAAGAATAGATACAATAGTTTGTGTTTTATTTAGATATTCACTTCAGGGTTGTTCAAGTATTAAATATCGCTTTTGATAGGGAAAGGAGTTTTGTGTGGATTTTTATTTCCTAATGAAAAAATAAATATTAGCATTTTTTGAGAAAATTAAAATTTGTAAATATTACCAAGGTGTCCAAAAAGGCCAAAAAGCTTTACGTAATAATTAAAATTATTTGAAAATATAAATTAAAGTGCAGAATGTGTAGGTATTGCAGTTTTTTTATTTATTGTGATAATTACAAAATATTTTGTATATATGTACATGTACAAGGGTAACTTTGTAGGTATGCATACCTACAAACTTACCTAAATACATTTCCATTAGCTTTAACAATATTTTTGCTTGCTAAAAATACCTTTACCTATTATAATTTTATTAATGACAATAAATAATGTAAAACTTACTTATTTATGTCAAATATTGTTAAAAAACCATTTGCGATTATCTATCTAAGACTTAAACCACTATTTTTTACATTATCCATGCATGCCATTGTTTTGTAATTACAAATAATAAATGGAATATAAGTAAAAATGTATAATTACTTGCCCAGAACCACATAGTGCATTCGAAAATATGAACCTCCAGCTCCGATAAAAATTCATCTGTCTTTATGCGCCTACAAGAGAGTTATGCAAAAATGAAAAATGGCCGACAAATTACCGCTAACCTGGTCATAAAAGTAATATATTTTTTAAATTTGACAATAATTATTGCATTTAAGAATGGTAATACAATTTTCTTTACTCCTATTACATAATATTATTTTTTTAATATACTTTGTATATTATACAGTGTGCCCACGGATGGTAATGACCATAGAAAAAAACTTTTTTATTAGGTATGATACGAAAAAAACTCTTGCTTGTTTCAAAAATAAGATTCCTACACAAACATTTTGAATTAAATGTACAGGGTGCTCAGAAACTAAAAAAAAACCCAAAAAACTAGAAGTGCGTTTTATGGAAAAATGAATTCCTTTTGAAAATATTTGATGATTAAAAATTAATACTCAAATAAAACTCATAAAAAGATGAATTATATATACAGGGTGCTCAAAAATTATATATCAAAATAAGAGGGAAATGTGGTAAGATATTCGTAACGTATCGCAAAAAATCATTCTTCATAAAAACTTCTGCTTGTATTTAAGAATGAGATTCCTAACAAACATTTTTAATAAAACAAACAGCAAAGTGCTTTAAGAGGGTAGTAAAATAATTATTGTTCTATTGTTTTCCTATTGTCAACCATCACAATATTGGCTAAAGGGTTGTTAAAAAGAAATATGGTGAAATGTAAAATGTTGATATAATAATATATTTTTGATACTTTAAAGGTAATGGTTTTTCGGTTATTCATGATAAAAAATTATGCTTGCGCCATGTTGCAATCGCCAACATTGGCGATCGCCCCCTGGTACGAACTATAAACATTTATTTATTTAATAAATAAATTATTAAATATAAACCATAAAAAAACAAAAAATACACAAATACTAAAAAAAATTTATATCATTTGGCTAGACTTAGGCCCCTCAATACCAAATATTTTTGAAAAAAAATTATATAAGAAGTAAATTTAGCACCCTTAAAAACATAAAAAATATTTAAAGAATAATTTTTGCCGCGTAAATTTATCTCTCAGACCACTGTGGGCCGGGTCTGCCGGAAACTTTTTAATTTTTTTTCTAAAATTTTTCAAAGAGCAATTTTCGAAATTGGCCGAATGAAATACACGAATCGACGGGTAAAAGACCAAAGTTTGACATACTAAAAGATGAGCTTTATCGAATAAAAACTAATTGGCAAGAAGCCCGTTTAATTTTTGTTGGGTATTTAAAAAAGTTAACCAAATAAAATCCCCAAAATCAAATCGATTACAGGGGGATCCAACAATATATTAAATAATATAGCGGCATTGCCAAATTTAATTGCGGTGTTGCCAGCTTTTGCATAAACTTCTTAAAGAAAAAAATATAATTAATAAAATTCATTTATCAGGTGGATCTATGAATTACAGTCGATTTAATTTTTTTCGCAAATGATATACAGGGGAACCCAACAAAGTATCCAACCACACTTTGACAGGTGTCAAGTGAACAGGTGACATGTCAAGTGCCAGATGATAGGTGACACGACAGGTGACAGATAACAAATGACTGATGACATATGACAAATGGTATGTGACAGATAACAGATAACAGGTGACAGGTGACAGATGACATGTGATAAATAAAAGTTAAAAGGTGCCAGTTGACAGGTGGCAGATGACAGAAGATAAATGACAGGTCACAGATGACAGGTGACAGATGTCAAGTTGACAGATGACAGGTAACAAATGACATGTAACATATGAGACATATAAGGTGACAGAAGACGTGAGAAATATAAAATTCATCTTTAAAATTACTAACCAGTTTAGGTGGAGCCGTCGCGGCGCAATCCCCACCCGCAGCAAGCTCAGCTTGCTGAGCTTGTTTCCTTCAGTCAACACGTCATCTTGAGATTAATGTGATATGTGCCGATGTATGAATGGCTCCACGATAGTGAGTCTTAAACGGTGCCTGCAGACGGTTTTCCCTATGTAGTATGCTGGCTCTGCCATCCAGCCAACCAAATCTACTCGTAGAAAAATATGAGTTCACTTATTACCCAAAAATAAAATGCGTCTGAGAATTATTTCCTCAACCCAAAAATCTGAGGTTTATTATACCTTAAGTTATAGTCTAATGTCACCACCTTCCCAACTTGGTGAAGTTAACGATACATTCCCTAACTTACTTCTGATTAAAAAGAAGGAAGGTAATTGTGATAATTGTAGATATTTTTAACTGACAAGGAATTAATTAATTTAGCTAGAACAATTGAATCGATTATTAGTCAAGATTTTGACATTTTTAATTATACATTGCTTTTTATTAATTAGACCAAGCCAGATTGTTTGGTGCTAAAAATAACCAAGTCCGCTTTTGGCAAATACAATATTATGTAGGGTAAAGTTTTATATATATTTTTAAAAGGACCTAAGTCACTGGACTTCGTTTTAAAATTACCGGATTTTTAATCTCTCCCTTACTATATGTTCCACTGACAGCATCTAGCTATGTTGACTTTGACAGTAGTTGACAGAGATTCTTGTCTTGGTGTTCTGAGTTGTGAGACAGAATTGTGAGCTTAGACTTGTCTATTGTCTAATAAGGTTGTGATTTTATTTTATACAAGACCATTTAATGGTAAGCTAATTTAGCTTTACCCAAACTTATTAAGATATATCCAAGTGTTATAAGTGCATACACAATGTCTGGCACTGATTATAATAATTTCAAAAGTTATAACAGTGATATAGAAAATATTAGCCCCAAAAAGCATTGTAGAGGTGAACGACACGATGAAAATTATAAGAGCAATGTTTTGAAAAATTATATAATCAAAGGCATAGAATATATTAATCACAGAAATAAATTAATTTCCGCTAAGAAACAAGGTAATCCTTGCAGGTAAGTTTAAAAGGTATATATAGATAGTTATATGGCGAAGTTCAGTTTAAATATAATTAATATAATACTTACTTTTCGCACACATGTACGGCAACTCTTTTATTTGGGAGCGGGTGAGGGTTCAGATGTTAATTATTGGTTTTATTTGTGGGCGCCAGCCAAAAGCAAACTTTTGACAAGAAAAAGGAGGAGGAAAATGGGATGTTTTTTTAACAAAAATACTCGAGTTTACAGTTAGTAAAAATATGATGTTTCGTTTTATTACTTGTTTAGATGAAACATTGAGTGGTGGGTACGATTGTTCTACGTGTTAGAATCTTTAAAAGGGCGTAAAACAACCATCAAGCATAAGAACAAAAGGACGTTAATGAAAATATCGAGACATAATGGCCTGAAAATAGAAACACTGTTCAGCATGTTTTCTAAAATACAGGAAAACCAGTCAAAATAATGAAAATATTATTTACCTTGAATGTCAGGTGGCCTTACTGAGGTAAATTTGATAATATTGTTGATTTTCTAATGCTAATTATCAAAACTAATGCGTTCTTTTAGGTTCTCCCTTAAAACGCTTCCAGAAGCTTCGAAACCAAAATCAAAAATGGCCTCGTTTCACCCGAAGTTGGCTGTTAAAATTATCCAACCAAAACCTGATTGGCCCAGCAATATTTACAAAAAACTTAAATTTGAAAGTTGATTTTACTAATTAATTATTCAGGTATAAATTTTAAAAACGCTTTCCTGCATTTTTACAGGCCAACAGATGTTCTCAATGCAATTTACTTTTATTATTTTGTGTAATTATCAATAACAAGTAACTAATTGACAATAATAAATAAGTAAGTCGTGTCTACAACCACCAACAACGCATAGAGTCACGTTTACAAAACCTAATTGTTTAAGACAAACCGTTCGCAACACAAATAATTAAATAACCAATTTTTTATTTTTTAGAAATAGAACTTAAAACTGTCCAAACCCAATCTCAAGCCCAACTAAGCACTAAAATTGTCAATAAGTTAAGAAATATTTTTGAGATGTTGGGTGAAAAATGCAGTGAGGATGAGAAGACTTTGTGGCTTGGACACTTGAAGAAAAACATTAAATGTTTTAACAAGCTAATTAAATCATAGGAGTTCTGTAGGTACAGAGAGTTATCTAATTACTAATTTACTACAGCTCAAACATTTAAAAACAATAGTTAAAGCAAAAAATATTGTTAGGGGGCAGGATTAAAAAATAATAGGGGTACCAGAGTACAATGGCAAGAACTAAATAATGTTTTTCAATCACGTATTCGTACAGGAATTATTATAAATTTAAAACATATTGATATAAACCAATTTTTAAATGATGCATTTATCCTTTTAAAATCAAGGGTGTGCAATGTTTTAAAAAGATTTTCTCTAATAAAAGTTAATGTTTGCTTTGGTGGTGAATCTATTAAAAAGAGCGAAGACCAAACAATTAATGAAATTAAATATTTTAATACTAAAAACTTGGTTATAGATAGCGGGGTAGATTTAAATCAATGGTTTACCCATAATGTTGTAGATAAAATTTTAAATAAATTAAGTGAATTTGCAGAGAAGGACTCAGGGTGGGCTTTAAATAAAATTTTAAATTTAGAAATTATTATTAATAAATGGGTAATGGTGGTTCCTCATACATTAAATTACCAGAACAGATTGAGAGAAAGCTAGCTTTTGTAAATGTTAAAAATTTAGACAATGGGTGCTTTGGCTGGGCCGTCATATCGGCCCTGTACAAAATATAAAAAATCATCCGGAGAAACCCTCCTCTTATCCACACGTTAGGGATGCTTTAAGTTTTACAAATATTGAGCTTTTACAAATATTGAGCTTCCTATAAATGATATTGTAAAATTGATTGATTTATTAAAAAATAAAATTCAATATCCATAAATGTTTACGGTTTGGAACTTATTAAAACGGATAACACTTCCAAATACAACACTATACCTGTCAGACTCAAAAATAAATTAGCTCGGCATGTTAATTTACTTTTAATTCAAAACATATATTTTCTCAAATAACCGGATTGTGAGCCATTTATAGATGTAGCTGATTATAGTGAAATAAAGTATCATTATGAATGGATCAAAAATTCATCTAGGCTGGTAGGAAGTCAGCATACAAAACATAATCATAAAATATTTATTTGTGACCGTTGTCTAAATTATTTTTCTAGTCAAATCATATTAAATGAACATGAAGATTATTGTCAAAAATTAAATGATTGCAAAATTTCATTTCCAGAAGAAGATTATGTAGAGTTTTTAAATTTAAAGTTTCAGCAAAAAGTACCTTTTGTTATGTATGCTGACTTTGAGTAAATACCTATTAATGAAAATTTAACAAAAACATCTATAAATCAGCAGCATAAAGCCTTTAGCGTTGCATATTATTTTAAGTGTGATGATACTTTATCGTTTTATAAAAGCTATCGTGGTTTAGATTGTATCAAGTGATTTGCAAACGAATTAAAGGAGGTTGCTAAATTTGTTCAATTAAAATTAAAAGGTAACATGGATGTCGATATTGATTTAAAGAACGCTAATAAGTGTCATATTTGTAATAAAGATTTTATTCAGGGTAATGTAATTGTTAGAGATCATAATCATCAAAACGGACAATTCCGCGGGTTTGCACATCGGGTTTGCAACCCAAATTACAAAAATTCATTTATGGTACCAGTTGTATTTCACAATTTAAGAAATTATGATAGTCATTTCTTAATAACCTTAAATAACACGGCCACAGTGTAAACTTACCTGTAGTATTTCTCTTGAATTTATTTTAAGTGTTTTAACAAAGTTTGGTTTTGAAAAGACACTACTGGATGTTTGTGTGACTGCAGACAGAGATTGGCTACTGTAGAAACTGTAGTTCACCTGTATTGGGCCTTTCCAGTGCCAGTGTGGCACCAGTCCTGAAATTTCAGGTTAACTAACCTTCAAAACAAATCAACGTTCTCTCTTACGAGCCCGACCACAGTGTTGCCGCTGTTCTCAATATCTCCCAGAAAATGTGCCGTATCAAAGCTGCACACAACTCACCAATGTCATCAATGATCTAAAAACTAATATCGCTCAATTGAAGGAGGAGGTTGCCTCCCTAAAAACCTCGATTAATGAATTCAATGAATCCAATAATGAATCTCAGCTCATCAACAAAATCGTTAATGAAGTGCTCGAACGTGAAAAGAGAAAAACTAATGTTATGGTATACAATGTCTAAAGGAATCTAAAATCTCCGACAAAACTAGAAGAGATCTCGAGGAAAAAGCTACTTTTGCTGGGATTTGTAATAAAATCTCTTTAGATGCCAGCCTCATAACAAACATAACAAGGCTTGGAAAGTTTGAAACAACAGCAGATCGACCTCGTCCACTCAAGATCACTTTTAATAGAGAGGCTTGTGTCCATGAAGCTATTCGCAAAGCCAAATTGATGAAGGACTCCATAAGTGACAACAAAAACATTTGCTTTTCATTTGATAGAACACTTCTACAGGTCGATTAATACAAGAAACTTAAAACGGAAATCGGAAAGCTACTTTTGCTGGGATATGTAATGAAATCTCTTTAGATGCCAGCCTCATAACAAACATAACAATGCTTGGAAAGTTTGAAACAACAGCAGATTGACCTCGTCCACTCAAGATCACTTTTAATAGAGAGGCTTGTGTCCATGAAGCTATTCGCAAAGCCAAATTTCTGAAGGACTTCATAAGTGACAACAAAAACATTTGCTTTTCATTTGATAGAACACTTCTACAGGTCGACTAAACCTAAACCTAAAACGAAAATCGACAACAGAATAAATAGTGAAGAAACTAATCTTTTTATTAAGTATGAGAAGGAAGTTCCAAAAATTAGGTCTTTAAACTAATGCTGCCCAACGATACAGAACCATATAGCCTTAGTATTTTTTACCAGAATGTGCATGGCTGGTGACTTTTTCCCTTCAGTTAGTGAGTATTGGTATGATCTAGTTATTTTATCTAAGACTTGGTTATCTAGAGATATTAACAATAATGAGTTTTTTCCTGATACCTACAATGTGTTCAGATGTGATACGGATTTTGATGCAATGGGTGTTATGCCTGGTGGAGGCGTTTGTTCTGCCTACAAGCAACCTCTACGCGTTTCCCCCATAGACTTATCGAATATACGTTACCAACTCCATAATGTAGATATTGTTTGTTGCAAAATGTACCTTTAAGGTCTCACTTTATTTGTATATAATGTATATGTTCTTCTGATATTTCTGTTCATAATCTTGAATATTTTCTGGATCTTTTGTCGCAGCACTTGCTAAATAACCGCTTTTCTCTTATTGTTGGCGATTTTAATATTACTCATTTTACTAATAATACAAGTAACGACAGAAAATGTCAGTTAATGAACAACTTCCTTGACCAAAACGGCCTGGTTCAGTTTAATAATGTACTTAATTTTAACGCTAGAACACTTTACTTAGTTTGCAGTAATCTGGACTTGGTTGACATTTCTCGCATTGACCCTTTAACGAAAGAAGACGCACATCATCCAGCTCTTTTTATTATCACCTGGAAGTCCAATAAACCAGCTAACTTCCCTATAAATACAATATCTCAAAAACAATATAACTTTCGCACTTTATCAAACCTTGCTTAACACAGATTGGAACTTTCTTGGTATGGCAACTGATGTTAATTTAGCTTGTTCTCTATTTTATTAAAAATTGTACTTCATTCTCGACACGTTTGTTCCTAAGTATATTCCAAAACCAAAGCAGTATCCAACGTGGTATATATTAATAACTATTAATACTTTGAAACTAAAACTTTGAAACCCTGTATAACATAAACAAATTTAAAAAAATTTTAAAAGCTCAAATCCGCAATGCTTATTCTAATTATTTAGTTAAAATTGAAAATTCTAACAGACCCGAAAAACTTCTGGACTCATTTCAGAAATAAAAAAGGTTCAACCAGACTCAGGAATAGTTCATCTTAACGACGACACTTACGATACTCCTGAAACCATTGTTAATGGCTTTGTTGCTACCTATTTTAATAGCGTTGACAATAAAGCAGTTATAACAAATAATTTAAATGATCGCTGTTTTTCCATTGCCAGTTTGGGAATAGAAAACATACTAAAGAGTATTGACAAATTAGTAGAGATTAGATTTTAGTGTTATTACCTATTTGTCTACGATAATCATAATTTTAGGTGTAATGGAATAAAATCCGTTTTGAAAAAAATTTAATCATTTGAGCTTTACCTATTTTACCTAAATTCTTATTTTTAAAAGAAATGGACCTTTTTTTTAATTTTACTACCTACCCGCCAAGAAAGTATCGCATCACCATTATTTCTTAATAATACAAATATATCAATGATATATAAATGTTTATAAGGATGTTTTTAAATATTTTCTAGTTCTTTTATTTGTAAAATCATAAAAAAAACACAACTTCAACGAAAAGCAATGGTTTTATTCAATTTAATTCACAAATAATAAAAAATGCAAAAAACAATGTTTATTAAAAATAAATTTAATGACATATTAAATAAATTTAGTAACGCGTATTGCCCCCTCTAGCTCTTATTACTTCACGACAACGTTGTGGCAGGCTTCCAATTAATGTCCTTAAATAATCCTGATTCAAATTATCCCATTCTGCAGTTAATAGCCGTTGCAGGTCCTGAAGATTATCTGGCAGCACGTTTTTAGCTCTTACCCTTCTATAAAGATAGTCCCAAACATGTTCTATTGGGTTTAAATCTGGAATGCGTGCTGGCCATCCTAAAACTGGGATATTTACCTCCTGAAGGTACTCGGTTACTATCCTTGCGACGTGGGGGCGTGCATTGTCATGCATTAAGACGAAATCGTCACCAACAAATGGAGCGTAGGGGACAACATGTTGATCCAAAATGTCTCTAATGTACCTGTCAGCAGTTAAGGATCCTCCATCTAGCACCACCAATTCCGTAAAACCACTTACTACAAGATATTCCTCCCCAAACCATAATAGACCCTCCTCCAAAATAGCGCTCGCCGTCTCGTCTATAAACAGGTATTCTTCGGTCTGATGTGTATAAACTAAATCTTGAATCATCTGTAAAGAGTACGTTACCCCAGTTTTCAATATTCCAAATAACATGTTCTCTAGCAAATGTTAATCGTGCTACACGGTGTTCCCTGGTAAGTTGAGGTGCAATGACAGCTACTCTGGCTCTAATTCCAGACTGCCTTAAGATGTTTCTCACAGTTTCTGAAGATATACGTACATACCGAGTCTCAGCCAAGTCATGCTGAAGTTGACTTGCAGTTACATGTCTTCGACGCAAAGCCTGAAGAGTCAAAAATCTATTGTCTGCAGGCGTAGTTACTGTCGGCCGGCCTGATACTGCTCGTCTGTTATATCCTCCAGTTTCTCGGAATCTAACAAGTACTCGGGATACTGTCGATTGGTTTACACCTACTAAATTAGCCGCGTATCTCTGACTTCGTCCATCTTCAACAAGAGAAACTATTCTAATTACTTGTTCCCTAGTTAAATTTAAATTTATGTTTGCACGACCTTCCATATTCAATATTCTTTGCAAAATTTGTAATTAAACACAAATTGTGTGCACTTAAACAAAGCAAAATATAAAATAATAAGTAATTAAATCCGATTATTTCCCTTATTATAATATGAACCAATCAAAAGCCTTGAATTTTCGAATAAATTTCGTTTAAATAAGCGATTAAATCACTAGAACTATTTAACAGCGATTAAATTTTAGCCTCCATATTGGATTTTTATTTACGATTTTATGGTGTTATTTACAAGTTTTAACAAACATTTTTTAAAAAACAATAAAAAATAAGTTATCTAGTTTACGAAATATCAATTATTACTTATTACATACCTTAAATTAATGGAATTTTCTTTAAAAAAATATTTATAAATTTTGACACATACGTCAGATTTTATGAATTATCAAATAGTTTCCTTTAATTCGAGAAATAATCTAGACGTATATCATGATATCACTCAACCTATAAATTTAATCTGTCAAACTATGCTCAGTAAGTTTTTTATTTGATTTTTCATTTTGGAAAATAGTTTTATGCAAAATATTTAAAAATAAAACCCCTCGACCGCTACGCGGTCTCGTGATTTTATTAAATTATTTTGCATTCAACATTTTCCAAGAAAAACCAAACAAAAAACTACTGAGCCTAGTTTAACCGATTAAATTCATAGTTCTCGTGATATAATATATGATTAAATCTGACAAAAAAGTTTTTTCGCAGTTTTTTGTGAAACAATACATTGTTTTTGTATTTTTTTGTCAACATTTATTGTTTTGTATTTTTTTATGAATAAATTAAATTTAATGGGAATATTTTTAGTTTTATAGGTGATGCGATACTTTCTTAGCGGAGTGTAGTTATGATTTTACCCATTCTACCTAGATTAATTTTTTTTTAAATAAAGAAAATTTTCAAATTTTAATATCAAAAAACATATATATATATATATATAAACATATATATATAGGTATATATATATATATATATATATATATATATATGTGCACCCCTATCTTATTCGGCTCCATACGTTCGAAGGAGACCTGGCCTCCACCAGAAGGAATAGGAATTTCTGAGTTTTTTTTATAGAAATAAATTAATAAACTCTTTCTTTATATGAGCAACCTCAGAGGGGAAAACTTTTCTTAAAAATAAAGAAAGAATTTTTATACACATTTTTGATACGGCTTAAGGTGAAGTGGCCTCCACACAGTAGACAATCTTTTTGCCTCCTGTGTATATATTTCCAGAGGTGCCTCGGTTGAACTTGCCTCCAGCGACGTTGCCGCACTGACCCTCACATGTATTTATAATATTTTTCATTTTAAGCCTTTTTATGTATTTCGATGATTGCGTTTATCGGTTAATTGGACTCCTCCAAAATATATTTACATCTAATATTATTTTAATAAATAAAAATTATACATTGTGCTGTTTTCGGTGAAACAAATTTTATAAATGTTTTATTTCATTAAAATGTATGAATATATTTATAATTTAACATTTAAGGTATGGATTGGTTTTTTTTATTAAAAATGCATCTAATCGTGCCATTAAGTGGTAATTTGGATGTACACATTTAATTGACTTTTAAATATAAATTATATTTAGGTATAAATGGTAGGTATATCTATAGAATATCTATAGAAATTGATGTATCTATAGTATAGATACATCAATTTTGTTCTTTAAAAAGGGTTTTTAAACAAAAATTATAAATTCACAAAAAATTGAAATTTTTGTGTACCTACATATCTATCGTTTGGTTTGGAAAACTACAAAATTTTCTTTTTGATTTTAAATAAACGATCAGAGGTAAAAAGTTTTTACTAAAAACATGTTTTAAGAATGTAATTTAGTTTAAACATTTTGCCATAAATGAAGTTTTAAGTAGATAATTAAAATAGTGGGTAATAATTTTAATAATCACCAAATTAAAAAAAACACTAACAGCACCTTTAATTTAAATTTAAAAGTAACTACGTCATTATATGTTTTTTCGTTAATTTTAATAAAACAAAAGTGTATTATGTTATTTAGTAAATGCAAGAACCATCCTTGCATTAAAAATAATTGTAATAAATAAAATTTTAGTAAATTAAATTTAATAAATAATTTGCATCAAGGTAAATTATGTGAATTATTTAAAACGTGAACTATTTTGCGGAGCCTAATAAAGACATTTTATAGAATCCATATTAAAAAATCTAAAGTATCTAAAGTATAAAAATAGGTACATTTAAACTATTTGTACTTGATGTCTTAAAATGTTAAAAAGTGACATTCGTACTTTTTTAAAGGATGTAGCAAATAAAATAAATAATATATAATAAATATTAAATGAATTTATGATTAAATCACCTCCATACATACGGGGCGGTGTTTTGGAAGTAAGTAGTGGGGAAACCGCGACGCATCATCATTCTTTCTGGAACATTGGGGTGCGACAAGTGCATTTAGCCTCTAAATTTTAGAGTTTATTATTGTTTAGTGATTTCTAATCGTTGTGAAAATGAGCAGGTACCGAATTAATAAAAATTGATGTTTTCTGTATTAATAAAAATAATGCATTTTAGATTGCCACGTACTAGGAGGTTAGTCCAGTTAGCGACACAGGGAGTTACAGTGGAAAACATGTATGATGATAATAATTATGAAAGAAATAATATACATGATGTAAATAATACAGGTAAAATACTTTTATGTATTTATTTATACATTATCAAAATAATTTTTACATAAATATTTGTTAAAATATTAGCCAGTACTTCTACTAGAAAGTTTAATTTTTTTTAGTTTTATATTTATTTCCATTATGCACTATTTTTATTTGTTTTATGCTACATATCGGGTGTAGAGTTAATGTTTAATGCTTGGACAAAACTTTAAAAAATATATTTAAAATATTTAAAAATTGAATAGCAAAATTATATAAAAAATAAAATAAAATTGTTATTAAAAACTAGTTAAACAACTTAAAAAAAAGTGTAATAATATGGTAATTTTATAACATAATTTTTAATGTTAAACTAATGTTAATATTATATTATATATCTTTCGGGATGAAAATAAAAAAAACTACTTGATTAAAATAATAATACCTTTTTAACCAAATTTTACTTAAAAAACTACACACGGAAAAACTTTATAATATTCTTAAAAACAAATAATCACAGTCGCGGATACAGGATGTCGTTTAGGTGGGGCATTTTTTGTGATTTTACCTATCTTCCAGAAAATTATTTTTAAACAAACAAAAATATAAAACTTTAGTTTGCTATCCGAGTAATACTTGCATTTGAATAATTTTTTTACACTCCCGCCTTAAAATTTTGTTATAAAAAATCCCTGTAAGTTTCAGCTCTTAATATTAATATTAAGTACTTTTCCTTAGCGTTGAACGATTTCCCATTGAAAATATATGGGGAATTCCACGTGAATTTGAAACGAAAAAAACCCTTGCCATTTCGAAATTCCATGGAAATCTTTCCATGGGTTCCCTGACTCAAAATAAAAATTTAATTTTAATTTTAGCACGGTTTGTCAATTGTTTTTGGACCTATTGGCAAAATCGTTATAATCATGAAAATTTTAAAAATCATATCTCGATAAACAATTAACAAACCGTGTTAAAATTAAAATTCAATTTTTACTTTGAGTCAGGGAACCCATGGAAAAATTTCCATGGAATTTCGAAATGGCAAGGATTTTTTTCGTGTCGAATTCACGTGGAATTCCCCATATGTAAACAAGGGTTTATTTTTTTTAGCTTTGACTAATTTATTATATGAAATTTTTACGGCCTACTTACTAGATTATCCGTAAAAATTTCACATGATAAATTAGTCAAAGGTTAATATCTCGAGAAATATCAATCTTAGAGATTCGGTTCAAAAAGCTTTCTTGCTGAAAATGTAATTTCCTATAAATTGCAAGATGCAATGTAAGATCGTTTAACTCTTAGCAAAATGCATTGTTAAACGAAAAATATCGCTGCGCTAAAGCTTACATCTATTTTCAATGGAAAAATTTTTGATGCTAAGGGAAAATAGGTACTTAATATTAATATTAAGAGTTGAAACATACAAGGATTTTTTTACGTTTACATCAAAATTTTAAGGCGAGAGCGAAAAAAAATGCTCGTTTCAAAAATTACCCTACTTACTATAGTGATATCATGATGATTTTAAAATTTTGAAATTGGTCAAAATAAAGTACTTTGGACATGAGTCAGGAAGCAATTACCCTCTTGTATCCGCGCCTGGATCATAATACATTTTGTACTTAGATGGTGGATACGAGACAAGTCCTGCACCTTCAATACCTTCAAATGCTTCATTTGATTTGGACGACTCTATCGCGGATCCAATGTATGTTCCTTCAGTTAGTCCTAGTAATAATAGTGAGTCTGATAGGTCAAATGAATATGATATTAATTTTGGAGAAAGACTAATTAGCTCAAGCCCATTACCTTCTTTATTCACTGAGGTAAAATAAATAATTAATATTTTTCCCCGTACTTCTGGATTTTATATTTTTAGAAATGTGAACCAAAAATTAAGATTCTGAGTAATATTACTTTAACTTCCAACAATAATTCTGAAAGTATTACCCAATCAAAAAATGAGGAACCCCATAATGATGAAGCTATAGAGAACTCGTTGCAATATTTACTTGTAAGTTATAATAAAAAAATCTGTGTTAATATATTGTTTATTAAATAATTTAAGGAAGCACCAGCAGAAAATAAAGAAAATAATTATAAAGATCTGCCGCCTATGGACTTTGGTGTAAGTGTTTAAACTTTAAATATTATATGGGGTCGTTTATAAATTACGTCACACTAAGGGGGGAGGTTACTGTTTTGTGGCAAATTGTGACATGGGGGATGGGGACTGGATCGTGCGTTACGTCACACCAAACAAATAATATTTTACAATATTTATTAAATGCGATATTTATTTTTTTATTTTTAATACTACCTATAATGTCTGTAAAACATTATTAGATGCTGGAAAAAGTTATACTGCACTAGGTATAAGATACAATTTTTATTATACATAATACCACTTGTGGTCCAATTTTACCGATATTTTTTTTAATTTTATACGTTTTATAAGTGTTTTGATTGTAAATTTTGCTAGCGAAATTAATTAACCACGAGCCGGCGAGCGGTTTTAATTAATGCCACAAGCGAAATTTACAAGTAAAAATTTTACTTTAAAATTAAAAAAAAAATTCAGTGAAAATTTTACCGCAAGTGGTATTTCAAAATATTTTTTTAGGTACGTACCGTTTCTTACAAATTTTGATTTTTCTTGCCAAATCGTAAATTTTTCAATATTTTTAATTTAAAATTAGTAACGTTAAATTGACTATTTTTGGTATTGCAACCACAATCCATTATTATAGCAACCAAACAGTGTTATCATTTATATAATTTGTCCAAAAACTAATGAGTAATCTTTTTAATGTATTTTTTACTCTACCCAGAATTTTTAAAGCATAACAAATTAGCGGTTTTAAACCAAAATTGAAATAAAGCTTGTCTAAAAAACAAACATATTTTTAATTAACTTTCAAAATATTTTTCTTCATAAATAATTTAATTAAAGTGTAACACCAGTAGGTTTTAAATATTGTATAGTAGGTACATATTAACATTGTTTTAAAAAATACTTATCTTTCTAGAAAAAAAAGAAAACGTATTGTAAATTTTGTCAAAATGAAGTGACCAACTTTGAGCGTCATCTAGAAAGAAATCATACTGATGAAAAAGAAGTCCAAGATATGTTATCATATTCAAAAAAACATCCGGAACGAAAGAAAATCATAGGACTTATAAGAAATTATGGTAATTTTAAAGAATATTTAAAAGGAAATTTACGACCGAAGTACAGTTCTAAACTTCCGAAAAATACAGAATATTACCCATGTTCTCAATGTAGAGTGTTGCTTACAAAAAATTACTTACCACGTCATCAGAAAAGATGTGTTGTTCAAAAAATTAATGATAATAAGTTTAATCCGAAGTCCGCGTCACAGACTCTTGTCGCTTGTGCTTTGGATCAAAATAATACTCTACATAAGTTGAGGGTAAAGGAAGAGGTTTTTTCAAAAATGAGAGCCGATCACATATCTCTTACCGCAAAAACAGATATTTTAATATGCCATTTTGGCGAAAATTACCTGAAAAAACACAAAAGAGAGCAACTACATTTGGCATGTTCAAACAAAATCAGAGAACTGGCCAGATTTATAATAGAATTTAGAAAACTAACAAATAATCCAAAATACTGCTTACAAGATATATTTATCCCACGACTTTTTGATACAGCTATAGAATGTGCTAAGAAAATAGGAGGTTATGATGCGACAACGAAATCTTACCGTTCCCCCAGCTTATCTGCTCATATTGGCACTTCTTTAAAACAGTCTTGTGACCTTTTAATTCGTTTAATTTTAAAAGAAGATGAATCAGTTGTTTTTAAAATAAATAATAAAGAGGAAACTTTAAAGAATGTTAAGCGATTTAGAGAGCTTATCGAAACACAATGGACAACAGAAATTAGTAGCCTTGCGTTTAAGGATTTAAATGAAAAAAAATGGAATAAACCTATAATATTGCCTTTGACTCAAGATATTTTAAAGTTTAAGAATTATGTCACTGAAATTGCTAATAAAGCAGTTACCAATCTTACATTAGACAAAAATAACAAAAAAGAATTTAAAAATCTTGTTGAAGCTTCCTTAACTTTAACAATCCTTTTTAATAGAAGACGTATTGGAGATGTTCAGTATACATTACTGAAAACATATACTGAAAATGTAAGTACTGTTACTTCTGTTAACTTAAAAGAATTTGAAAATGCTTTGACAGAATCAGAAAAAAATTTGACAAAGCACTACAAAAGATTAGTAACAGGAGGAAAAGGCAGTAGGGCAATTGCGATACTACTGCCAATTACATTACAAACATACATAGATTTGTTCATTAAAATTCGTTCTGAAACAAATTTAGTACCCGACAAAAATCCTTATTTATTTGCTTGTCCCGGTACTGTTAAATGGACAAGAGGAGACGTCATAATACGCAGGTTTGCCATGAATGCTGGTTTGAAATACCCTCTTCAAATGTCATCTAATAGGTTCAGAAAACAGATTGCTACTGTTATGCAAATCCTTAATCTTAATAAAGAAGAGAGCGAACAATTTTCCACGTTTATGGGACATACCGAAAAAACCCATAACGAGTTTTACAAGTAAGATCTTATTTACTTTAGTGTTTATTTAAAAAAAATTATCTTTTAGAAAAATAAATTAATATAAAGTTTAAAAGTTACGCAAAATGTTATTTATATTTTTTTTTCTAAAAAATAGGCTACCCCAGGATGTATACCAAACAGCAAAAATCTCGAAACTTTTATTACTTATGGAGAAATCTGGGAATACATCAATACAACAATTTAAAGGAAAATCTTTAGCAGATATTGATATTAATCCAGATGAAGAATTTGCTGAAGAGGATGCTGAAGAGGATGCTGAAGATTATGATGATAATGATATTTTTCCTTTTAAGGAACCAGTTACTAGAGGTATGCTTTCAACAAAAACCTAATATGTTTACCCATTAACGCCATACATTTTTAAATTTCAGATGAAGAAATAAATGAAGCCCTAACTCCAAACCCATCAAAAATTAAGACTAGAATTCCCTGGACCCTTGAACAGATAAAAATAGTAAAATGCCATTTTAAAGAACACATAGTTAATAAACAAGCTCCTAAAAAAAAAGAATGTCTAGAATTAATTAATAAATATCACAATGTACTGCACAATAAAGACTGGGTACAAGTAAAAACTTACGTTTACAACGTGTACAAAAAAAAATAATCACGGTTTTAAAAAGTCGTATCTTTGTAGCAGGACTGGGCCAAAACAAATCGACTATTTAAAAAAATAAATTGTTACAGAGAACAAAAAAATGCTCTAAAAATTTCCCATAATATTTTTTATTTCCCATTGAAAAAACATTCTTAAAATCCAATTGGTTTAAAATAATTTTTCTCTAAGTATTATTTAAACTTAAGAGCTAAAAATATATTCAATATAACGTTGTCTTATAATTAACTTACTCCATGTCCATTTTAAAATTTTACAGAAAAGCCACTTAATGTTTTAGTTTAGTGTGGGTACATAAAATTATATCTAAAAGTTTTAGAAATAGGTTTACATATTGTGTAATATAAATACAGTCTATTTGTACACTAAACTTTAAGTAAAATTTTAAAAATTGACATAAAATGCGTTGATCCCAAGATAACGTTATATTGAACATATAGTTAGCTCTTAAGTACTAATAATATTAGTGGAAAATTATTTTTTAAAATAACTTAATTTTTACAATGTTTTTTTGCTCCAAAACTATATTTTCATTTGTTGATTTTTTTTTGGTCCAGCCTAACTAATGTTTATAACTAAGGTTATATTGAACATATAGTTAGCTCTTAAGTACTAATAATATTAGTGGAAAATTATTTTTTAAACTAACTTGATTTTTACAATGTTTTTTTGCTCCGAAACTATATTTTCAATTATTGATTTTTTTGGTCCAGCCTAACTAATGTTTATAACTAACGTTATATTGAACATATAGTTAGCTCTTAAATACTAATAATATTAGTGGAAAATTATATTTTAAACTAACTTGATTTTTACAATGTTTTTTTGCTCCAAAACTATATTTTCAATTATTGATTTTTTTGGTCCAGCCTAACTAATGTTTATAACTAACGTTATATTGAACATATAGTTAGCTCTTAAGTACTAATAATATTAGTGGAAAATTATATTTTCAATTGGTGATTTTTTTCGTCCAGCCTAACTAATGTCGAGTGTATGTGCGTACATAGACTCCCGTTTATAATATTAATCTGTACAATTCAGGGGGTTAATATCAGTTATCAAAATTTCCATGCAAATATAAGTCCAGTTGAAATGTTACTCATATGGATTTTGCTGAGTTTAAAATTAGCTCCCGGAATTAACAACTTTAGTCTGTAATATTTTATTTTATTTTAATGGGTTTTTAAATTATATTTTTTTATAAATAAACGAATTATTATTTATTTTAGTTTTATTTATTGAAAAAAAAAACAATAATATAAAACTAGTATAATTTTTATTTATCTTATTTATCAGTACAAACTGTTTTGTAAAATTAAATTTATTTTTAAAACTTCTGTATCATAATTTATAAAAGGTATAGTACATGTAGTATTTATAAACTCCATATCTGCTATTCTAAATTCAAATTTAAGTATTAATATGATGCTAAAACATAAATTTCTTAGTATCTACTTAATAAACCATACTTATTTTAAATACCTTATAATTAGTTATTTTCGCGCTTAGCCTGAAAACAAAAGAAAAATTATTATAAAAAACCTGCAAAGGATATATATATATATATACAGTGCTCGATTTCTAAAAATTAAGGAGGAACTGTAACCTCTACTGGAGGATTTTTATTTTATTTAGTTCCAAATTTTATTTTGCAAAACAAGTAGGTACAAAAATGTAGTAAATATATATATATACTATAGTAAAATAATTAAATCAGTAAAATAGCACAGTTTCCTGATTGTTTAAGTTACTTTTCGTAAATCGAGAGGTAGCGAACGCCGCGGCGCGCCGTTCCGGTGCGTTCCGCCTCAAATCGAGCCCTGTGTATATCTTATTCATACTTACTCATGTGGTGTGAAAAATTATACTGGGTACCTAAATATGCCACTATTTTTTAACTTCTTATTACCTGGTATATTCTTATTTAAAATCAACAACTAGTCTGTAATTTTTAATTTAATTTTTTTATAAATGTGTTTTTTAATTATAATTTTTAATAATTATTTTATAAATAAACGCAGTCATTATATATTTATGTTAGTTTTATTTATTAAAAAACAATAGTATAGTATAATTTTTATATATTTTATATATACACTTAATGTTTTGTCAAATTCAGTTTAATTTAATATTATAAATAGGTACCTATATTTTTAAAACTTCTGTGTAGTATTTATGAACACCATATCTGCTAAAATGTCTTAGTATCTAATAAACAGTTTATTATAAAAATTTTATAATAAAATATTTCTACAGGTATTCATTTTAATACCTTATAATAAACTATATAACTATAATTACTAATGTTAAAATTAACTAAACATTCAATTTTCTTAGTTTCTTTAAATCCAATGGTATTATTTACAAGTGGAACGAACTCAAAATAAAAACTCTGGTGAGGTGAACGTTTAATTCTTTCTTTTAAAATAAAATACTATTTATATGTATGTACCTATATTATTTTCCTAAAAACGACAGTTCTAATCAACCGCGCTAATCCTGAAAACAAAAAAAACAAAATTATAATTAACCTGCAATTAGTAGATTACTTTTTACCATCTGTTATTTAATATTTATTCATGTCTACATTACATTACATAACATCTACTTACACTTTTTCTATGACTTACACTTTGTATTTGTATACCCATAGATAGGTTATTATTCTTAATAATACCTTTATTCAGGAGTCCAGTTATACCATATTCCTATATCATTATTTCATTAACGTATTAAAAATATAAGATTTCTCTGAATAAAGTACATTTACAGAAATACATACTCGTGGCATTAAATGGCCTCCGTACACTGTTGCCAAATTTCGGAGACTAGTTGATTAGAAAATATTCTGAGGTATATCAACTGGTATACTTATTTTTATATACATCTGTATATAACAGTGGCGCCCTCATCGGAAGAACGGTGAACCCGATTGTGTAACTGTAGGCGTATCCAAGTGGAATTGACCTCCAGGCTAAAATTTGCCACACGTCCTAAAATGACCTTGACTACCCATAGTAAAGAGATACACGTGCTTACCATTTGGCCTCCGATTTTTCGAATGCGGCTCCGATTTCGGAGCCGCTTTCTTCACAAAAGTATCTATTTCGGATGTGTATTAGCCGTTTTGCATATATATATATATATATATATATATATATATATATATATATATATATATATATAAAAAACATGTTTTTTTAGATATTTTTATGTTTATCAGGCTACAAAATGGGATTCTTATCAAGACTTTATAAGAAAAATTTTGAATAAAATTAAATAAAATAAATTTTTTTGGAGATAAATCTGTTTTGTGTATTATGCTTTAACTTTATAAAAACGTGATTTTTGGCTAACCCTGTATAAATCTAATGATGTGCTCAGTATGAAAACAGTATTCTCCAAGTCTCGTTAACAATATACTCCAATATTATAAAAATCGGTGTACAAATGTGTACTCTGTCAAAGGCTACAAAATGGGATTCCAGGTAACTTTCTTGACCCTCGGGCAAAATTTGACTGGACGCTCTATTGTTGATGAAATAAACGTAGAAAGACCGGTATACGTATATTATGAGTTCAAGCAATTTGACACTAGGGGGCGCCGCGCCGTATAGCGGTATACATTTTTCATTTACTTCTCTTACAAAGGAGCGTCCTCATAATTTGGCAACTGTGTAGGTACTTGAATTATATTTATTATATTATAGAATCAGCTTTCAAGTATTTTATGCAAAGCGGAACATGTTAAAAATACTTTACCATCTATAGGGCATTCACATCCTGATTCTGATACAATTTGTTTGCATATATATATAATAAAATAGTTATAAAATCTACTAAATATAATTTTTTTGTTTGCAAGAACCTTCATTTTATTACTTAACTACCATCTCCTAGATATCCCTTTGTTTTTATTTATTTGTTTTTTAGCAATAGTATGTTGTTAATAAATTACACTAGTTTACAAATTTTAATTTTAGAAGGATAGATTTTTTTAAAGGTAATTTTGGCGTGCTGAACACAAAAAACAAACGTATTTTATTCTGAATTTGGCCATTCACCTAGGTAACGGTTTATTTTTGTTTAGATTTATGATTTAAAAACTTAAACCAGTATCCGGAGTAAAGGGCACGCCCGATCAAGGTATGGTTAAAAAGGTAAATCTTCCAAAGGTATTAAATTTGTAATCCATGTTATTTTTTAAGATTTTCAGCTATTTTGCATGGGTGGATTTTTAGCTATATTTCATGAAATTTAAACTGTAACTCGGCCATTCTTTATCATATTAAAACAAAGTGGATACCGTTAGAAGAGTAATTTAATTACCCTTTTGAAGATATTGGGCAATGCCCAATGGGCATGCCTTAAATCTGAAAAATTTATTATGTTTTTCGTGTTTACAAACACTATAGGGCTAAATTACCTTAAGTAACAAAATGTAAAAGAAACTTTCTACTTTTTTCTGTTAACAAGTGTTTTGCAGACTTGAGAAATTGGTAAAACAAAACAATACCATCCCAAAAAAATCTCTAAACTATGATTTAGGCAAAATTCAATTATTGCGGCTAAAATCAAAGAGATGTAAGTGCAGCGGCCCTAATATTATTATAATATTGTATACAATCTACTCTCTAAAAATGAATTAGTCAAAAGTAACTAATTTAATAGTTAATAGTGGCTGCTTTTTCACTTGTGCCATAGTTAACCATAGAATACCATGGTATTCCAAAATTTAACAGCCAATTCTTATGTAAAATTTTCCTCTGAATCAGAAAATACCGTCAAAATTTAAAAAAGTAGAACAGTTTTTGAGATATAGTCAATTCCATATTAAATGGAAAATTGACTATATCTCAAAAACTGTTCCATTTTTTTAACTTTTGACGACTTTTTCTGATTCAGGGGAAAATTTTACATAAGAATTGGCTGTTAAATTTTGGGGGTACCATGGTATTAAATGGTTAACCATGGCACAAGTGAAAAAG